TGCATTTACTACACCTCTGGGAGGGTTCCTGAGGGGCACCTGGAACCCGTTAGTCCTTGTCAACAAGTCTCCCATCTAGTGGCTGAGACAGGAATGCAAAATAATGTATGAAGGAGTCTAGTAGGCTTATTTCCGAATCATATTTTTCATGCATAAAAATAAATACATATTCCTAAAAAAAACAATTGTCATATGATTCAGCAATTCTACTTCTCGGTATATACCCAAAAGAACTGAGAAAGCAACGACATTTGTACACCAATATTCATAGCATTGTTCACAATGGTCGGAAGACGGAAACCGACCCCAAAGTCCATCGGTTGACGAAGACAGACAAAATGTGCTATAAACATGCAATGGAATATTATTTAGCCTTAAAATAAAGTGAAATTCTGACACATGCTACATCAATGAACTTTGAAGGCATGATGCTAAGTGAAATAAGCCAAATGGGAAAGGACACACACTGTCTGATTCCACTCAAATTTATTTATTTATTTGACAGGGAGTCTTGCGCTGTTGCCCAGGTTGGAGTGCAGTGGCACGATCTCAGCTCACTGCAACCTCCACCTCCTGGGTTCAAGCGATTCTCCTGCCTCAGCCTCCTGAGCAGCTGGGATTATAGGCAGAAAGTTAAATGGTCCTTGCCAGGGTCTGGGGGAGAAAGAATGGGGAGTTACTTTTTAATGGATACAGAGTTTCAGTTTGGGATACAGTTTAACGTTTAATGGATACCGAGTTTCAGTTTCAAGACTGAAAACAACCAAAGTGTTCAGGAATAGGAAACTGGTTAAGTATATCTTGTTACATCATGAAGCCAAGCCCTAAACACCAATGAGGGTGTTGTTTATATGCCTATATAGCACTATTTTGGAAAAAAAGCAAAAGGATGGGGAGAAAGGATCTATATACACATTTTTTTTGCAAGGAGGGACACCAAGGCTGGAGCACAGTGACAAGATCATGGCTCACTGCACCCTAGACCTCCAGGGCTCAAGAGATCCTCCCACCTCAGCCTCTCAAGCAGTTGGGACTGCAAGTGCACACCACAACACCGGGCCGATTTTTTATTGTTATTTTTTGTACCGATGAGGTCATGCGGTCCAGGCTGGTCTTGAACTCCCGGGCTCAAGCAATCCTCCTACCACAGTCTCCCAAAGTACTGGGAATACAGGCATGAGCCACATCACAGAGTCTACACATTTCTTTATACAATATCTCTGGAAGGATACCTTAGAAAACAGTAATATTGCTTGCTTCCTAGGAAGAGAAGGGGTGGGGTTCAAGAATAGGAGACAGCATTCCCACTGTATGTCATTTTATACCCTTAAAAGATTGAACTATGTAAATATATGAAAAGTTGTTACCTATTCTTTAAAAAGTTTAAAATTAAAATGTTTATAGTGTGATGGACCTGCTAGGATGTCTCAAATCTCCTGTGGTTATCCAGTCCCTTTTTGAGAAAAAAACCACTCTGTGGTGCCTTACTGGTAAGTTTGCTAACCTCAGGTCATGTGACTTGGTCGTCCCTGATTGTTTCAACAGGGAGCTTCGTGCCCAGATCTTTTTTATTGATGAGTTTGTATTTGAGACACAAAAGCATCAGTGAGTAGAAGCACAATAAAGTCTCTCTCTTTATTTGTTTATTTATTTATTTATTTGACATAGAGTCTTGAGCCCAGGCTGGAGTGCAGTGGCACAATCTCGGCTCACTGCAACCTTCACCTCCTGGGTTCAAGCGATTCTCCTGCCTCAGCCTCCTGAGCAGCTGTGATTACAGGCATTCACCATCATGCCCACATAATTTTTGTGTTTTTAGTAGAGATGGGGTTTTGCCATATTGGCAGGCTGGTCTCAAACTCCTGGACTCAAGTGATCTGCCTGCCTCAGCCTCCCAAAGTGCTGGGATTACAGGCATGAGCCACCACACCCCACCAATAAAGTCTCAGTTGGTCATTTTCTTCCTAAACATCCTCCCAGGGAAGGAGGAAACTATAAAAATATCCCCACCTCTCTCCAGAATTGTAGATAAGGGAACTGGCCGCCCCGAAAGGTTAAGTGCTTTCACCTTTGCCTGAGAGAGCACTGTTTTTCCAGGGCTGGGCCTTTCACTTCCCCACAGCTTTAAAGCCAAAAGTAGCTCAGGAGAGGTAAGGCTGAGGATTCAAATTTCCTGCAACAGCAGGAAGAAAGAAGCCACCATTTTCTGAGAGTGGTGAGAAGTCAGCTCCACCTGACCCAACAGGACAGGGCAGGGTCCAGGGAGGGTCCTTAGACTGTGCTTAGGGAAGGAGTTACAAGGGGAGCAGACTCAGGTCTTGCTTGAAGGAGAGAAGCAAGGGGATAGCGGGGCCCCCACACTCAATTCAAGGGACTCATTTCAAGAGTGAAAGAGTTTGTAGGTTCAAAGGTGACTGACCAGTTTGTTGATTTAACTATTGACAGGTGGCAGGCATGGTGGCTCCCATCTGTAATCTCAGCAATTTGGGCACCGAGGCAGGAGGATTTCTTGAGCCCAGGAGTTCAATATTATCCTGGGCAACATAGTAGGACCCCATCTCCGCAAGAAATTAAAAACATTAACCGGGCATGATGGTGCACATTTGTGGTCCTAACTACTTGGGAGGCTCTGGTAGGAGTATCTCGAGCTCAGGGGTTCGAGGCTGCAGTGAGCCATGTTTGCACCACTGCCCTCCATCCTAAGTGGCAGAGTGAGACCCTGTCTAAAAAAAAAAACCATAAATTGGCAGACCTCAGTAACTACACAAATTCAATCCAATACTACACATACTCCTGTAACTTTAACTAACATGCACATTCATATGTTATCATGTAATGTCTGTAGGGTGGGGGACCAATTCCATATATTTCATGAGAGGGTTCTAGGGGAAACTGGTTATTTCAACATCATAGGGATGTCTTCTTGAGAAAACAAAGGTCAAATTGCTTTTCAGCTTTTTGGCTAAGATGAGGTGCAGAAAACAATAATAGCTAGCATTTATAGTGTTCTTTCTCTGTGTCAGACACCGTTCTAAGTTATTTGTATGTGTGTATTAACCTATTTAATACACACATCTAGCATAGGTGATAGTACTTATTACTGTCTCCATCACAGATAAGAAACCAAGGCACAGAGAGGTTCAATATCTTGTCCAAAGTCACACCACTAATATTTTCAGGAGCCGGGGCTTGAACCTGGGCAGGCTGGCTCCAGAGTCCACATGGTTTCCTCTGGTCTCTCTGAGTTGAGTCACCTGCCTTTGCATTTAGGGTGAGTCTGCCTGCCTTGTCATCAGGTACCATTTGGCCAGTGGGCTGAGTCCTGCCTCATCTCCCTGCAGGCTGCCTGGTCCTGCGGGCTTTTCCTTTTCTCCTCCTGCCTTTATTCTTGCAGAAACAAATGAATACACCTCAGGGTTCTGGCTTCGACCACCCCTGCCCACTTCTGGTCCCCTCCACTGACTTCACCCACTCCCCTTCTCATTCTAACAGACTCACACATCCACTATGCCTGAGGCCAAGGACATCCTTAGCAGGATCTGTGGTCCCAGTGGTCCGCCTACACGGCGGGGACCTGCACATCCCTAGGGGCTGAGAAGGTTGCAACACGTGGAAGGAGGACGCAGGAGGGCCGGGAGTCCGGCACCAAAATTCCCCTTGCCAGGCTGTGTTGGCTGCTTCCCTCTAGTGGCAACCAGAGGAGCTGGCGAGAACCAAAGCCAGGTTCATCGCTAGTGGAAAGGAGTTTTGAGAGACAGTGGGGGCCCCACTGCCCAGTAATGAGGGTCAGGTGGGCAGGCCCCGAGCGTACACGCAGCAGACACCACCCACCACACCCACAGTACACACAGTTGTAGACTGGGTCCACCTCAGCACTGGTGCTCCTGCTGCCCGGCGTGGTTTGGCTACAGACGATGGTTGTTGTATGAGAGACTATAAAGTCAGACATGGCAGAGACAGGCCTGGAGACCCAAGGCCCTCCCCCTGCCTAATCCTCTCCTGCCCCTGTGAAGCCCTTCCTCGACCGGAACTCCTTCCGCACCAGCTCCCCAGGGCTCCCAGGAGCAAGGCATTGAGGTAGGAAGAGCTGAGGAGAGAGGTTTCTGCCTGCCCCCTTGCACGCTAACACATGCCATCCACCACACGATGTCCCATCTCTAAGGTGCCAGATGCAGGGGGGATTTTTTTCTGTGATGGACCCTGTAGTTGCTTGGCACCTCTCCTCTAAGATCTTGGTTCTGCTGCTGGCTAGCAAGATGAAAATTCTAGTAAGAGACAAACTACAGTGAAAAACAGTGACCCCTGCTATGTCCACATAATCTATATGTCCAAGGAGTCCAGGCCTCCCGACCTGGCTTCTACATGGCACCTGTGCCTCACCCAAGCAGCTGTCACATGACCCAGGCACCCCTCCTCCATCGGTCATGTGCCTGGGGCCCCAACTCAGATGACTGGGTTAAAGAGCTTTCTAGTGACATGTCCTCAAAGGGCCCTATTAATTGCCTCAGCATTGTCTTCAGCTAAACTGCTAGAGGACAAAGGATAGGGGGTGGGCCGAGGTGAAGGGGTGGGGCTGGGGAAAGACAAGGAGGAATGGGTGGGGAGGGAAGCACACACACTCAACGCACACACACACACAGAGCACAGCCCCCGAGCAGGGCTGTTCTAGTCCCACAGCCTGGGGCGCAGGGAGGCCAGCAGCTGGCTGATGGAAATCCAGCCGGCCTGGGCTAGCAGCCCCTCTCCTGAGGCAGCCCCATTAGCCAGGACAGCAGAGAGCCTTTCATGGTCGCTCCTGTCATTTGCATAACTCAGATCACTAGACTCTCGGCTGAAGCATCTCCCTGTCTTCATCCAAGCAGCTCAGGGGGTTCTCCCATGACAGGAATCCCTGATGTGAAGAAAAGGTGCAGCTCTCTCTGACAAGCTAGCTCCCCTCCTGAGAGAGAGAGAGAGAGAGAGAGAGAGAGAGAGAGAGAGAGAGAGAGAGAGACAGAGAGACAGAGAGAGACAGAGAGACAGAGAGAGACAGAGAGAGAGACCATGACACTGAATGTATCAGAGACCTATGAAACTTCTGCCAGCTGGGGCAACTTCTCCAGCTGCGGTGACAGAGCAGGACCATGTCTCAAAAAAACAAACAAACGAAAAAAGAAATTTCTGGATCAGGAAGAAGCTACTTCTACATTCCAGCCCACAACCAGGCCCTACATCAGCCTATATTTGAACACCATGGCAATTCCTATGATCTGTGAGGAAATTTTTCCTTACACTAAACAGATTGGTCCAGTTTCCCAGCTTTGGACTGCCCAGAAAAAGCCTACATATCTAATATAATTTATTATAAATAGATGCTATGTGTTGAGTATGTCTTTGTGCCAAGCACTGGGTTAGGTCCTTTATACGAACTCTCTTGTTTAACGTCCACAATAGTTCAATGAAGTAGCTATTAGTATTATTAGTATTAATTAGTGAGACAGTCTCACTGTGCTGCCCAGGCTGCAGTGCAGCAGCATGATCATGGCTCATTGCAGCCTTGACCTCCCCACGCTCAGGTGATTCTCCTACCTCAGCTTCCTGAGAAGCTGGAACTACAGGAGTGTGCCACCATGCCTGGCTGATTCTTGTATTTTTTCGTAGAGATGAGATTTTGCCATGTTTCCCGGGCTAGTCTTGAACTCCTGGGGCTCAAGCAATCTGCTCACATCGACCTCCAAAAAGTGCTGGAATTATAGGCATGAGCCACCACCCCCAGCCAAAATAGATATCCATTAGATCCAGTCGACAGGGGAGGAATCTGCAGCACAGAAGTTTAGGTAAAGCTAGCAAGTCCCAGGTAGGGCAAGCATCCAGACTGGTATGTCTGCTCAAGACACTGACTTCGGTGCTAAAGCCAGGAAAGCCACCAGCATACTGGGACAGGTTGGTCACCCCAGTCCCCAGTCTTCCTGGCAATACCATCCACATGCTTAACCACTGAAACACCCGGCCTCGGAATGCCCACTCTTCAAATGTCTCTCACACGCACATGCATGCTGCCCCCAAGTCTTCTTCCAGACCACGTCTCACCTTTTCACAGTCATTCTTCCTAGGAGACCAGTGCCAGTCCCTTTGCCAGCTTCCTCCCTCTCTCGCCAGTGTTTCTGGGGCAGCATGTCCATCCGACCCTCCTGGTGCAGCTCCCCGGAGGTTTGTACAGGCTCAATCAGATGCTGGCAATCAAGAGTACCCAGCTCGAAGGCTGAGGGTTTCTGCCCAATGTCCTCTTTCCCTTTCTTCCTTCCCAGCAGAGCCACTATTTTGTTCAGAGCAGCAGCATGCCCTGCCTTAAAACAACAAACAAACAAACAAACAAAAATAGAACAACTCTCCATATCACCCTCAGCCCAACCACTGGAGAAGGGATGTCTGATTCCGGAGCTATGGGTGGTGGCAGGAGGAGGAAAATGCACAGTTAATCTCAAATCCAAACACCACATTAGGATGGTGTCCCTCGGGGATCCCTCCACGCCTTGGCATTCTCCACTCCACCCAGACAGAGGGGAGAGAGCTGGGTCCTTGCCTCAGACACAGAATCCCACCTCACCCATTACAACCTGCCCACCTCTCCACCTGAAAAACGCTCACTCATTTCTCAAAACCCAGCTCAAATATTTCCTGAGCAGGCCCTGGTGTGTCCTCATCTCTGTCCACAGTCCCCAGCACAGGGCCTGGCGTGAAGAAGTGCGTGAGGTGGGTAGGAGTTATGCTGCCTATAGGGCTGGCCCCTGAAGCCTTGTTTCTGCCAGGTCACCCTCCATCCGTTACAGGGGGAGATCCTTGACCCACACTGGCTACATGGGTTCTTTCCCACAACTGGAGAGCTGACCTGAGCGAAGCGGGATTGGCCTGCATGCAGTGTGTGGTGCTGAGCCATCCCGATGGCAGCTTGTGAGCCACGTGGTGGCCATTTATGTCATGTGGTAACACCAGAGGAAGCCAGGCTGGAGAGAAGGCCCTAGCTGATGCTTGTGAGGAGGGTATGGTCAGTGGGGTGTGGTCTCGGCCTTGCAGACCCTTCCCGTTCTGGCTGTTCCCCACACACATAGGTCCTTTGAGGCACTACTGAGTGTCTATTTCTTAAACTCAAGAGTCCTAACTGCTCCAGGGGAGGAGGTTCTGAGGGCTCAACAGATGCTGGCCCACAGTCTTGGCCCTACCTGTCCCACAACCAGCCTCACCGAGGTCCCCTCATTGTGCCCTCATTGTCCCCCAGCTCCCAGTCTGGTGGCTCTCAGCTGGGGCTGTACATTGTAGTTACCTCAGACAGGTTGAATCAGACTCTCCAGGACAGGCTTCAGTGACAGCAGCTCTTCAAGTCACCCGGCTTCCACAGGGCCACCTCCCATTTCCACAGGGCTTCCACAGGGCTTCCACAGGGCAGCCAGGATGGAGCACGGCCCTGGGGAAGGAGGAGCACAGAGAGCACGGGGCCACTAGAGTCCTGGGTGCCAGCTCGCGCCTTCTCCCATGCAGAGCTGCAGAGATGACAGCAGCGGAGGGGCTTGCAGGTAAGGCCAGCCCTGCCCAGCCTGCCCTTCCTCCTCTTCTTCCTTACCCTACTCAGCAAGGGTGACCTCTGGAGCTGTCCTGGTCCCACCCACCACTCACATACACAACACACTGAAATAGCAGGCATGTGCCACCACCCCCAGCTGAAATAGGTGCCCATTAGATCCAGTTGACAGGGGAGGAATCTGCGGCACAGAGAAGTTAGGTAAAGCTAGCAAGTCCCAGGTAGGGCAAGCATCCATACTGGTATGCCTGCTCATGACTCTGACTTCGGTGCTAAAGCCAGGAAGGCCGCCGGCATACTGGGACAGGGTGGTCACCCCAGTCCCCAGTCTTCCCGGTAATACCATCCACATGCTTAACCACTGAAATACACGGCCTTAGAACTTTCACTCTTCAAATGTTTCTCACATGCACACACATGCAGCCACACACACACACACACACACACACACACCCCACCCACCCCCAAGTCTTTTTCCAGACCATGTCTCACCTTTTCAGTCATTCTTCCTAGGAGACAAGTGCCAGTCCCTTTGCCATCCTCCTCCCTCTTTGCCAGCATTTCCTGGTCAGTATATCCACCCCTCCTGGCTCAGCTCCCCCCAGGTCTTGTGCAGGGTCAGAGTCAGCCATCATATTCTGAGTCACAGCTCTAAAACTCTAGAGAGCCCTATCCATCCTGTGTCCCTGTCTCTCATGCAAACCCCTCCTCCACCCCACCTGTGAACACTCCAAGCGCCCTTCCTTTCCCTTCCCTCTGCCTATCCAGTTACCAGTTTTTCAAGACCTAGGTAACATCCCTGCCTCCAGGAAGCCTTCCCAACTGCTCCAGTCCATTCTAACCTTTTCTTCTCTAGCTTCCTGTTTGCACCCAGCATTCACATCCTCCTCAGACACACTTACTGACTCCCTGTGACCTATCTTGCTTCTTATCTGACTTTCCAGGCCTTTACCACCTTGCCTCATTGACCAGTCTGTGAGACCCTTGTCTGCTCACCACAGCCTGGGCAAATATTGAGCCAGGCATAAGGGAGTTGCTCAGAAGTCCATGCACTGATGGATGCCCCCGCCCCTCTTTCCCACTTCCTTACTCCAGACAGCGTCAGTGAGGGGCCCATCCTTAGAAGGGTCCTTGGAGAATCAGGTTGGATGGCAGCAGGTGCTCTCTCTCTCTCTCTCTCGCTCTCTCTCTCTCTCTCTCTCTCTCTCTCTCTCTCTCTCTCTCACACACACACACACACACACAGACACACACACGCAACTGTGGCTGATGGCACCTATCAATGGCAGAAGGCTGGGGGAGGCTAGATTACTTCTTAATTTCATCCCAAGGCTGAAATCTCTAAGCCCAGGCACCAGATGAGCTTCCTGTGGCAGCCACACTGCCTGTCTCACCCAAGCTGCCTGTCTTCACTCACCACCACCCACCATGCACCTTCAGGGGGAGGGGGCTGGAGGTGGGCAGTGATGCAAGTCTGAAACTACAGCCAGAGACCAATAAGAGACCAAAATTGATGCGTGACTAATTTTAGGGCTGCTGGCTTGGCTGGCTGCATGCAGTGTGTGTGTGTGTGTGTGTGTGTGTGTGTGTGTGTGTGTGTGTGTGTGTGATGACAGTTAAGACAAAGCTAAGTGCAAACCACTGGCAGCCAACAGCTGCAGAATTGCATCTCCTGAGAGCTTCTCAAATCTCCTTGCCATCCCCACATGCAGCCTTGAGAAGAGTCGAGCAGGCAGCTTCTCCCCAGAGAGCCTCAGGGCCAGGCTAGGGAACAGGGTGTTAGAGACGTCAAAGGCTGACAGGCGACAAACCTCGAGACATCTCACACACAGAAAGGCACATACAAGAGGGGACCCCACAGCTGGCAGTGCATGAGCCCCAGGGAGGGCACAGGTAGACATATGGGCACATGAGAACTCATTCACAGACATTCAAGCAACCAGACCCACCTAGACACCAAATACACACAGGTACTAGGCCCACAGATACAACTTCACACTGGACATCCTCCTGGGACACCCAAATCAATCCTCCTCAATCAAAGGCAGCCATTGGCTGGTTTGGTGCAGTGACAACAGTGTGTCACACCCATCTCACCTCCCCTTTCTTTGCATCTACCCAGTTTTTGTTTTGTTTTGTTTTGTTTTGTTTTTTGAGGTCACCTGAAGTGGGGCCAGCTGAGCTTCCCCTGCTCTGGACCTAAGAGGCTCTCTGTCCCAGGGCTGTGGGGTTTGGGAGATGGAGGTCAAAGTTGGAAGGTGGCTTTCCACTCCTCCGCTGGGGCCTAAAGCCTGCGCCTTCCACGGAGGGGAGGTGGCCGGGGCAGTGAGGGCAGGCAAGCCCCACAGCTCTCCCAGGGCCCTGCCCTGGTTGCTTCACTTGCTGGGATTGAGCACTACATCACACTTTTGACCCCCAAGGGAAAGTCTGGGAGTAGGGGCTGGGAGAGCCTTGTCTGGAGTCTCCAGTGTCCCCCTTCAGGCCTCTGGGCAGACCCATCCCATCATCTGCCAGCAGGTCCTATAAACCAGGGCATCCATGGGCAGCTGTGCCTCTGGCCACTAGAATGCAGCTTCAAGACCAGCTTCAGGCTCTGGTCCCAGGGTCAAGCCTGGCTGTGTGAGCCCTGATCACTCTGCCTGGGCATCCCTTAGAGCTGGACACCGTGTGGACAGAGCTGGATCTGTAGAGCCGGGAGTACCCACAGGGGCAGTCCCAGGTGCTGGCTACACAAGCAGGGGAGGCCCGTGTGTGCCAGGCAGCAGAGCTGGGCCTAGGGAGGGGGTCACAGGGGAGGCCCATGTGTGCCAGGCAACAGAGCTGGGACTAGGGAGGGGGTCACAGCTGCCCCTCAGGGCTGAGCTGGGAAAGCAGGTTCTTACTGAAAGCTGCCTCCTGTCTGGGCTGTCAGATGCCACCCCAGGTATGGTATCTCCCTTCTTGTCCTGTCCACATCACACACAGCATAGTAGAATTTCAGCTTCTCTCACTCTGGCCCCGCTCTCTGCCCTCTGTCTATAGCCCTCCTCTTTCAGATATTCAGCAGGCTGCCTCCTCATTATTCATGCCAAGATCACCTCCTCAGGGGGGCCCTCCCTGATCACTCTAACTAAACAGCAGCCCCCATTCCATTCCTCACTTTATCTTCCCTCATAGCATTTATCACTACAAGAAATGTAATCGATGTTGATTTATTTTCTGTCTCTCCCACTGGAATGTAAACTCCATGAGGGCAGGGACTTTGGCCTGACTAGTCCCAGAATTCCAAGTGCAAACAAAGTAAGCATGTACTAAACATGCTCGATGAACATGAGCAAGCATGTAGATGCAACTGACACACAAGTCCTGTGTGACAAACATGCACACGCACACACACACATACGCATCCGCACGCACTTGTGAGCACAGCCAGTCACCTGTCCCACTTGGCTCAGCTCCCTGGAGCCTGAGGGAAGCGTTATCACCCACACTCTCCCACTCAGGCAGCCTCCAGCTCAGCCCTCCTGGTGTTAACTCGGCCTGACATGCCAGTTGTACATGGGACCTCCTGCAGAAGCTGTGGCGAGCCCACCACCAATGTGGTGCTGCTAATTGGCTCTGTGTTGGGCAGTGGGTCGCCGCTCGGTCAGCCATGGCTGATACCTTCTTCCCACTTGTCTCAGGAAAGGCACTGCTGTCCCCTCTACTTAGTCCTCAGCAAGCCACTGAACCGCACATGCCTGGCCACACGGGACCAACTGGGCCAGCCAGCCTTTCTGACAGTGGCTCCTGCCCCACTTGTTCTTTACAGAGAGCAGAGACAGCTCAGCAACAAGACAGGCCCTGGGCTGGGTAGTTGCCCACGGATGTAGTGTAATAAAGAGGGTCTGAGGAAGGGCCCAAGCCCAGCATCTGTGCATAACCTGTCAGGGTGACCCTGCCATCAGAACGCCCCTCCAGGTCAATCCTTGCTCTCCCTCAGGACTTCTCTTAAGTGCACAGCCCTAACTGGGGCTGGGTCCTGAAGGGTGGGAACAGAAAGGCCCGCTCACTGGAATACACGATCGATCCTTGCGTGTCTCCACCATCAGGTCTCTGAGTTTGATGCTGTCATGTCCCTCGACACCGCTTCCAGGCCTTTTCGGTGGACGGCTTTTGGGATGGAAGTGGCAGTCCCAGCTCACCTGACATCATGCTCCAGTCTGGGATCTCGGGACACTGGGGAAGGTGAGGTGGCTTTTCCTCAGCCAAGGCTGGTATCCTCCGAGGGTGCTGGTTTATCTGACTTTCCTCCCAATGGGGTTTGATGGTGGAGAGTGGGACGGTGCCTGGGCCACAAGAAAGCACAAGCCCTGGCTTCCTGAGGAAGGTGCTCACTCTACTCCCACTTTTCATGCCTCCAGAGCCCGGCTTGTACCACCTCAGTTTTACCAGAGCCCAAACCTCCTCCCACTTTGGGACTCGAGTACCTCTCACTCTCCACGCCATCCTCCAATCCTGCCTCTTCTAATGCTTCTCTTGCCTGTGCTTGCACACTGTGACTACCTCCTTGCCCCATCTGCCCCAGTCAGGGGACTGCAGAGCTGACCACAGATCTTGGGGAAGGCCCACCTCTCCTGCCTTTCTTCCCCAGCTCCTGCTGGGGGTTCATGACTGCAAAAACCCCATTGCGTCAACAACTCCAGTGGCCTCCCTTGATATAGGCCATCAGGTAGACAGAGGCAGGATGCTGGGGAGGGCCCATGAGAGGCCCTGGGTGACACCTCCTGGCCCTGGTCTGGCCCCAGCCTGGGTCTGAAGAACTGAGAGCCACCTGGGTTGTTCTCCATAGAGGCTAGAAAAGGCTGGAGCCACCCAAGTCTTTGAAACAGTATCTGGGGGATATTCAGGGCTGCCCCAGAAAAGAA